CCCCTACCTACAAAGTGTTTTAAATTATTCATCAAGACATTGAGAATGGACACATTGGGTAGGCATTTTTTAAATAGCAGTTCAAAGAATCACCATTTGTTTATTCATTTGTTCATACAAGAATTAAATGCCCACTTTGCAGCTGGTTAGTATCAGGCAAATAATTAAGTATCTTTACATTTCAGTTTTCTTATCTGTAAATAGCTATACTAATATTTTTCCCCATAATATTTTTATGATGTTTTCATTTAAAACATGTGCTTAAAGCATTTAGAATGATTCCAGGGACAGAGTAAATATTTGATACCACTGTCTTTTCCCCATCACTGTTGGTGCCAATGACTTTTTCTCTAACTAGGTATTTGTACATTTTCTCAGAAGTAATGAATCTGAATACTAAAACAACACCAGTCCCCACACGTTAATGCTTTTATGGTCAGATTAACCTTAATATGAATTTACAAAGCTTTCTTAGATGGTGTATTTGTCCATATTTTGAATAATCTGAGAGTGAATCAGTAATTAAACACTTATCTTATACAGGTAGAATTTTGTTTAATCCTCACTGCAAACTTGTGAGGCATAAGCTATTTTTTTTATTTGACTGAGAGAGAAAGATAGAGCATGCAAGTAGGGGAGAGGCAGAAGGAGAGGGGGAGAGAATCTCAAGCAGGGTCCATGTTTAACGCAGAGCCTGATGCAGGGCTCGATCCCATGATGCAGGGATCGTGACCTGAGCCAAAATTAAGAGTTGGACACTCAACCAACTGAGCCACCCAGGTGCCCTGGCATAAGGTATTATTATTCCTATTTCCTTTTTCTAATGAGGAAGCAGATACAGAGATAAAATAATTTGCTAAACTCACACATCAAGTAAATGTCCAAAAATAGGTTTCAAATTCAGGATTAACTCTGAATCTCAAGATTTAAGTATTAACCACTTTTCATCTTCTCATATTTTTATAAAGCTATAAAATATGTCTGAAACAATCATGCACAGGATCAATTTTTTTTCCAATTTCATCATTTTCTATTTTAACACATACACATCCCACACATTTTGTTTCCTTAAATGTTTCTCACCCCATGTTAAAAACAGACCTTTGCTGTTATGGTGGGATATCTTTTTTTTCTGTGTTAAACAGATTGCAGAATTTGAAAATTCTCATATGTGTGATTGGCAACAAAAATGGGGAATTTGGTCTTGGATGGCTGGGGCACTGTGTGTATATTAAGTCAAGGGTGTGGTAGAAAGTGCAATGGACTTGGAAGCACAGGTGGGGGGTGTACTTGAGCTCTATTACTTGTGCATTGAGTGATTTTAGATATTCTAAAGAGGAAATAGAACATATAAGTGCAGTTTGTAAAATATGCATCAGCAAAAATAAGTTATTTATGAAGGGGACACCTGGAGAGAGTGAGATGAAGATTTAAAGGGATCAAGTAAGGTTGGGTACCACTGTGTCTCATCTGGGCTGAGTATGTGGCAAACTAGAAAGCTTTGGAAGTGAGAATCTGAGGGAATCATTCTCAAAGCGTGGGATGTGTTAGGGAGGGGGACTTTTGTGTATGTATGTAGCTTTTCCACTACACTCCCCATATCTACTTATTGGGAATCTGATTCCTTAAAAACCATGGTATAGGGCACCTGGGTGGCTCAGATGGTTGAGTGTCCAGCTCTTGATCATAGCTCAGTCATACTCTCATTGTCTTGGGATCGAGCCCCACTTTGGGCTCTGTGCTGAGCATGGAGCCTGTTTGGGATTTTCTCTCTCTCCCTCTCTCTCTGCCTCACCTCTGCTCATTCTCTCTCTCTCTCTTACTCTCTCTCTCTCTCTCAAAATAAATAAATAAATAAATAAATAAATAAATAACGCCCCCCTCCCCAAATCATGGTATAATGACATACTGGCATAGGGATCAAATAGGGTGATCATAAAATACAAAGCCATACTTAAATGTTAGGCTGAACTCTCATATACTGTGTCCATGTGATTTTTGGAGCTAAAGGAGCTAAAAGGAGGCTCAAATAAGTACCCATGTCAGGTGGACGGTCAGGTGGGCAGCCAGCATGCTGATATTCACTGTCCATATCCAGTTATCTTTTCACCCTTTCCAGTTTTAAAAAATCTTTTCTCCCTCCTGAACCCCTTTTCCAAATTGGTTAAGTTTATCTATCCATCAAAGCTGATCTTTGATCTTGTAGCCAGAGATAGCAAGAGGGGTTGGGAGGAAGGAGAAAAAAGCAGATAGGCAGATTGCTCTAGATTCCAGAGGGAAAAAGTTTTCTGATATTCCCTCACATCCTTATTCCTCACCCTCTGTCTCTCAGCATCCTTCGGTTGTTCTCTGTTCTGCAGAAGGCAGAGATGCCCAGATTCACTGTAGCAGGAACTCTCCTGGTCGGGGAAACTCTGTTGGCTTCTCATGAGTTTGCCTCTGCTCTTCTGGACTCCTTTGGGTCCTTGCTGGGCTGAGGAAGCTACAGTGGTTCATTCCAACTGGACCCCTCAAGAGAGTTTGCACTGTGACCTCTCTCTCAATACAGAAATCGCAATGGCAACCGAATTGAGCAGAGCTGTCCTTTGGGGAACAACAAACTCCTGAGGCCACCTTCTGAAGATAGAGGTTATTTTCAAGCCTTTCAAACTTACCATAACATCTCCAGGGCATGCTTTAGTGTCCTCAAGTATAGAGTAATCAAAGGGGAGGATGAGTGTGTGTGTGTGTGTGTGTGTGTGTGTGTGTGTGTGTGTGTGTGTGTGTGTGTGTGTGTGTGTGTGTTTGGTTGAGTAGGCAGTGTTACAGTTTGGGTTCTGCAGGAACTTGACTTTCATATGGAGATTAGCCTGTGGGGCATTTATTAGAGAGGGCTGTAGGGATCCACATCTGTAGAAGGGAGAGGAAGAAAGCAGAGTTGGGCAGAGGGAGAAGTTGGGTTGTAATACAGTCCTCATGAAGGTCTCAGCTGACCCTCCTGGGAGCTCTGGAGCTAGGACATTGAGGGGGATGGCTCTTTATATCCTCATGTTGATCACTGGGTGTAGGCTGCCCTTGGATGGAAGAATGCTTGTGTGAAGCAGTTTCTTTCAGTCAAGGCTATCCCCAAAAAGAGCTTAAAGCTGAGGGCTACCTTACGAGGCAAACCTTGATGAATTATAGTGGAGTCATCATTCATTTTTGACCTGCAATTAATTACACAGTGAGCTGATCTATTTATGAACCATGCTCAGGAGTTTTCTTCCTGTCAGCTGGTTATAGGGGATATTCTGTGCAGCCATAGCTTTCTGATCCCTCTCTTAGATCACTGGGTTTCTACAAATGATACTGGTATAATGGGTCCCCTGCATTTTTGCAGTGATTATCTTTCACCCTCAAGACTGTACATGTCTTTCTAAGGCTCCAACTTGCTAGTAACTTCTTGG